TAGGAAAACTGAGGGAACTGAAAAAAAGAACACTTGATTGCAATCTCACCTCAGGAGCTATTCTTGGATAAACGAACTTGTTGGAGAGCATTCCTGATCATCACCGCTGGCCTCCTTTATAAAGTCTATCCCTAAAGCCTCGTGGTGAGAGGACCTGGTGTTTGCTACTGTGGGTGGGACCTCTTCCTAATGGCCAACAATCACGATGTGCTTCAGAAGGAGTTCACACATTGAAGACAAACATAGAACCAAAGCTCAACTCTCTCTCTCTCTCTTTTTTTTTTTTAAAAAGATCTATTTATTTATTTATTTGACAGAGATCACAAGTAGGCAGAGAGAGGGGGGAAGCAGGCTCCCCTCTGAGCAGGGAGCCCGATGTGAGGCCTGATCCCAGGACCCTGAGATCATGACCTGAGCTGAAGGCAGAGGCTTAACCCACTGAGCCACCCAGGCGCCCCCAAAGCTCAACTCTTAATACAACATCAGTTGGAGAGTTTCTTTGCTTTTTGTTGTTTAATTTTTTTTAAAGATATACTCACTTCATGATCCAGGTTATTTGTTTTTGTTTTTCTTGTTTTTTTTTTTTTTTTTTTTTTTCCAGGAAAACATAAATCAAGGCAGGACATTAATCATCCACCAAGTGTAAGTCAGTATAAGGAGGAGTGGCCTAGCTGTATCACTGTGGAGACTTCTGAATGTTACTTACAGAATAGGCATAAACAAGGATCTATCAAAAAGCTGAGAGCCCACAATCCTCCCTTCAGGGTGTAAAACATTGTTATTTGTGTTTTAGGAACACCTACAGAAAGAGTCAACAAAGAAACAATCAACAAAGCAATGTACTTAGAAACAAACATCTCTTAAGAAAAAACCATTCTTGCCAAGTTAAACAATAACCCAAACCCTTTGCTTTTAAACATGAAAGGAAAGAATGAAGACTCGTACCCATTTTTCTTTCTTTTATGACATCACGCTGGCACCTGCTTTCATAAGGAAGCTAAGAACATAATGTATTGTTTTTTTTTTCTTTTAAGATTTTATTTATTCATTTGAGAAAAAGAGACACAGAGAGAGAGAAAAAGAGGAAAAAGAACAGCGCATGCGCATAAGCATGGGGGGGGGAGGGGCAAATGGAGAAGCCTACTCCCCTCTAAGCAGGGAGCCTGAGTCCAAGCCCAACATGGGGCTCTATCCCTGAGATCGTGACCTCAGCCAAAAGCAGACGCTTCACCAACTGAGCCACCCAGTTGCCACAAGAACATAACGTATTGTACTAATGGTTCCAAAGGTCTTAGATAGAAGGTTGTCATGAAAAAATATTGAATTTGACAAAATTACTGCTTGTTATAAAAACTTCCTGAAGGTGAAATGTGAAAAAGAAGGAGAAACTGTTTTCTGTTTTAATGATGCTAAACAATATTAGAAAGGATGCTAGTTAACTATATATAAAAATCATCATTTTTTATTCCGTAAATGCCTGATGGTAACTGACAATTTAGTTACACTTTTCATAAGGCAGAGCAGTTTAGTAATATTGGTCGGTATTATTGCTGTCGGCATAAGATTTTCACTGGTTCCTCCAAAGCTTGCTAAGCTGTTGGATAACAAATGGGAAAATATCACACCACAGGCAATATTTATCCATCCAACAGGCAAAACAAGAAAATGGAACCCAGGCCTAGAATCCTCCAGTGTTACTCAATCAGGGCAAATTATTTATTGTCTTCAGTCCAGGAGTCCCGTGGGGCATGAAATATTGATTTAGGAATTTGTTGGGCATGAATGTCTGTGTGTTGTAACTATGTTTTTTATAGGGCTTGATATATGATAAATTGTTTCTACGTATGCTGTGATAAGACTGAAGAACAAATTAAGTCTGGCTCCTTAATAAACATGAATTAATAAACGCTAAAGTCTTTTTGTAATTACTAGCTTGGGGTCATTAACGTTCACTCCACGATGTGTGGGATTGCACAAGGCATTGTGCAGCCGTGTGCCTCGCTCCATCTCTTCCTTTATCTGACGACAACACAGTCTCTGCGGCGCGCCACCCAGGCTGATTCCAATCTTCCTATAAGTGGCCAGTGGAGAGCCTGCGTGTTCTTCCTGCTTCACCTGGGGCATTGGAGGCTCTAGGTATTGGGGATGGGCTAAGGCTGGCCCCAGAGGAAGTTAGGGGAGTGAAGTAGAGCTGGAGTTCCTCATTATCTGAGCAGAAGAGCCAGAGTCTGGAGCAAGTACAAAGAAAAAATGAAACAAAGCATGAAGATAAAGAACACAGTCATTTCATCAGCTAAAAATCTTTGCTCTTTACCATTCTCTGTGTCTCTAAAATACACACTATTAGAAGTAGGGGTTAGTATTAGTTAGGTTGGTTAGTATCTATTTGTTTCTTTGCTCTACTCATTTGGTCCTAGCCGAAACAGATCAGCGTAGCGGTTACTAGCAAGTCTGACTGAGTCGTAGTGCCTGGGTTCTAATCCAGCCTCTGCTACTTGTTAAGAATGTGAATTTACCTCCTTATGCCTCAGTTTCATCTTTAAAAGGAGAGTGACAGAAGTACCTCTCCTGTAAGATTATTGTGAAGGAAAATAAGATACAGATACATAATATATGATGCATATGTAGATATATGATAATAGGTAATATATAATCTATTTTTGTTTACATTCACTTTAAACAGTGCAGGCATACATCTAAATCAATAATATTCTGTAGAAATATCAAATTTACTATTGTTTTGTAATTTCTATTTAACTTTTCACATCTGTAGGCCTTGTCTTCCCTGCTCTCTACCTATAACCGCTCCCCCCGTCAAGGGTTGGAAAACAGTCTTATATTTTGTGGTGCTGAAATGTGCTTTGTTGTCCCATCTTTTGGGTGTTCACCCCTCCTGTTTTCAGTCCTGGTTTAGTGGCAGGTGAATATCGCCAGAGGGAAGGTATGTGACTCAAGTTTAGATATGCAAGTCCTCACCAGAAAAAGGCTTATTGATGTCTGAGATGACTGTCTTTAAGACTGTGTAGACCTGGAGCATGGGGAGTGGCCATCTTTGCCTCCTCCAGGGAGATCCTGACTGAGAATTGGAGCAACACTGAGGAACACCGAGCCAATAGATAGAGAAAGATGGTCCCTGAGGACACTGAGTTCCTAGATTCAATCTTGCCTCAGAGGAGTGTTCTTTGGATCTTCTGATTTTATGAGGAAAAGACTGAGGAAATAGATTCTGTCTTCAGTTTATTTAAATTGGTTTATATTGCATTTGCTCCTAAATTATACTCTCTAATATATATTTTTTCAAATCAGCTTGGTATAGGTGATCCTCTTTGAGGCCACTGACCTTACAGAAGGCCCTGTACATAGAAGAGAACAATACATATTTATTGCATGTATGAGTGAGTAAAAAAATTTTAACTCTCAAAATTCATGAGCCCATTAATTTGATCTTCTGCACATTATCATACCATCCTAGGCAACTCAAGTTCAACTTAAAAAATGTCTTGATAAAGGAACAAATTATTTTTAAAAAATTTATTTACGTATTTGAGAGAGAGAGAGAAAGAGGCAGAGGGGGAGGGAGAGAGAATCTTAAGCAAACTCTGTGCTGAGCGGGTAGCCTTACACGGGGCTGAATCCCTGTACCCTGAGATCATGACCTGAGCAGAAACCAAGAGTCAGATCCTTAATGGACTACACCACCCAGGCACCTCAGGAACAAATTCTCTTGTAGAGAAACACATGATGTAGCCCCGAGGATCTTGTTGGATGAACTAGATTGCTAGAATAAGGGTTTGGGGAGAGCAGAGATTAAGCATGGGAAAAACTGAGTTTCTCTTAGCTTAACTAAATTCATGGTCAGCTCAGTTCCTTAACCTCCTTTGGCACCATTCTGCATGCACAAAATGGGAAACATTTATTTATCTTGCTGGGTTGTTGTAGGCTCAAAGGAACTCATTGATATGTGAGCTAAGAATGACACAAATATTATTTGTTAAATTTTTTTTTTCAGATACACCTACTTCAATTGGTGGACACGCACCTGACGAATCATGAGCCTAAAGGTGTTTAAAATGGTTTTTCTAGTCAAATGCACAACAGAAGGCACATTTTCAAAAGGATATATGTAAACATATGCTATCATTTCTGGGTCTGGGATGTGACCTTTGGGGAAATACTCGGTTTGCTCTTCTGTAAAAGGAAGGATTCCACTGCCACGTTAGCCCCAAGAACCCCTTAGTGTTGCCATCTCAGGACTCCAGCAGATAGAATGGGTGCTCTGCTTAAGACAAGGGTCCCGGCAGGCCCTTGGGCCATCCCTGCAGCTCAGTACCTGTGAGCCTCCCCTCCCTGGGGGGGGGGGGGGGGGGGTTTGGTGGGCGTGGCGACAAGCACCTGCTCCCGGGCTTTCCTAGAATCTTGCTCCAACCCCGCATTTTAATGGTGTAGCTCAGCAGTCTCCCAGCTCTTCCCTCAGGGGTGCTTTATGAGATCCGGTTTCAGTTCCCTGGTGGGTAGCTCCAGGTCCCGTTACAACTCCCCAGAGCTCAGCGCGTGTGCGGGGGGCACAGAGCCAGGGAGAGATCGAGGGAGGGGACCAGGCTCCCGGGCTCTAGTTACCCGCGCAGCACGGCCCCCGCCCCGTGCCGCCGAGTGCGCGGCGAGGCCGGGGAGCGTCGCGGCCCCTTTAAGAGCCGGGCCCAGGCCGGCCCGGGGGCCGCGGGAGCCCAGAGCGCCGCGCGCCGCCGTGGAGTTGGGATCCGGCGCAAAAGTTTCCTCCCAACTCCGGCCCCGCGCGCCGCCGCCGCCGCCGCCCACTCCAGCCCCGGGCCTGGGGCCGGCCCGGTCCGGCTGCCGCCGCCGCCGCCACCGCCGCCGCCGCCAGGGCAGGGCCAGGGCCAGGGGGCAGGGCCAGGGCCAGGGCCAGGGCCAGGGCCACAGCCCGGCCGCCAGTTTCGCTTTGGCGGGCTGGGAGCAGCCGCCTCATCCGGGCCGAGCAGGAGGAGTAGGAAGAACCCGGCGGCGGCGTTGTCGCCGCGCCCCCGGCCACCAGCTACCTGGAAGGCAGCCCAGCCCGTTGCCGCCCCCTCCCCCGATTGCCGCCCGCTGCGGGGCCGCCTGCGCCGGGCGGAGGGGCGCCGCCGCGAGCTCCGGGCCCTGAGGGGACGCCTGGGGAGAGGCGCTCGGGGGCTCGGACCCGCCGGCGTCGGGCGTACCCCGACATTAGGGGCTGTGGCCGTGGGGCCGGGCACCTGTTCGGCCGGGCGCGGCGCGGGCACCGGGGGCTAGGATGAAAGTGACCGTGTGCTTCGGCAGGACAGGCATCGTGGTGCCGTGCAAGGAGGGCCAGCTGCGCGTCCGGGAGCTCACGCAGCAGGCGCTGCAGCGCTACCTGAAGACCCGGGAGAAGGTGAGCGCTGGGGCGGGGCGGTGGGGGGACGCGGCCGCGGGGCGGGCTCCCGGCGAGCGCACCGAGGCCAGGCACCTGTCAGAGGCCCCAGGACCCGGTGGCGACGCCCAAGGGGCGCAGAGCGCCCAGGAGACTTTATTGGGCGCTACCTGTTCTCGCAACTTTGGTTTGTTTGCTCATATAAGTGACCTGGATGTCTCTGGGGGTTTGTGGGCCTTGCTTCTCAGAGGGTGATAGGAAACGCAGCGTGGGAGTCAGTTGGGGACTCCCTACAAATGCAGGATCTGGTGCCCTAATCCAAGCCCTCTGCCTCTGAGTCTGGTTTAAAACAGGGTCCCAGGTGAGTGGAATGACCATTGGAGTTTGAGAAGCACTGCCTTCCAAGGTGTTTGAGAGAACACTTCTTAAGGGAGTATTGGAAGGTATTGCTTACTTCAGGTGTGAGTTTTGACTAGGGCTAGGGCCCGCCCCATTTCTGTTCCTTGGACTTAGAAAGTTGATTGGTGCGAGTAACGCACACTCGGAAGTTAGCACTGATGGGGCCTCCGGGATTGAAGTCTTGTGAGCTTTCTCCATCAGTGACTGGGAACTTAGGTGGAAGGATGCTGTTTGCTTCAACTAACCCGTCTACATGTGGAGTGTCTTTAATGCCGCGTTTTCTCTGTTTACTAGTGTGTGTGCCTGGCCCGACTAGTGAGTAGATTATTCCCAGCTCTGTCCCTGAAATCAGAAACAAGTAAAAGTTAAGTGACTGTTATTTTTAAGTGGGCAGTGCATCTTCAGAAGGCCTAGCTAGACACTAGAATTCATGGTGGGTGTTTGGGTAACATACTGGGACTCTGTGTCTTCTTTGATGGGATCTTTAAGTAAAGGCATTGGAGAGCGCCTTTTTCTTTTTCTTTTTTGAATCTTCATATGGAACAGCATACCTCAAATCCTCATCAAAAAGGACAAGACATAAACTCTTGTGCTAGAGGTCAGTGGCTCGTTTAATATTTGTTCTCTTGCTGTGAGAACTGTAGAAATGGCCTTTAAAACTGTATCTACCCCAGTTTTTCCCCAGTGTTACAATAGCGTATGCTGATTTGTTGTTGTTTTTAGGATTTTTATTTATTTGAGAGAGAGTGAGAGAGCACTGTGCTGGTGCTCAAATGCAGGGGCAGGGGGGAGAGGGGCAGTAGGAGAGGTAGAAGCAGGCTCCCTGCAGAGCAAGGAGCCCTATGAGCTGATCAAGGAGCCCTGTAAGGAGCTTGATCTCAGGATCATGACCCCATGATCATGACCCCACGAAGGCTGATGCCCAGTGGACTGAGCCACCCAGTCACCCCGTGTATATTGCTTTGTATTCTGTAATTCAGTTAAAAACTGAGATTTGCACAAGTAACCAATTTCCTTGGAAATGTATTTCCCTAACTTTTGAAAGTAAGCTTAGTAGTAACATTATTCTAGGCAGATTATTAAAATAACCATCATCGAAGGATTATTTTAATGAAATGATAGTTATTTTTTACTAACTCAATATTAAAAATAATTTGTGCTCTAACCTCTTGTATATATAGAAGCTTAGTATGTGGAGCTGTCCAAGTAACGGAAGTACGCTACATACTTATGAATAACATGCAGGGGACTAGATGAAATTTAGTGCATTGTAATTTGATCTTAAAAGGTGTTAAAAAGCTATTGATATTCTGTACTGAAAGCGTAATTTATAATATCACAGAACCTATAATGTAATTGTATTGATCAGTTTACTGTTATTACCAGATATTACATTTTTCTGTGTTTACATTTATATATTAGCGAATGTGACATTTAAAGGTCACCTGTAGTTTATAAATTCTCCCTCTCTTCTTTGGCTTTTAACATCTCAATTTAATAAGTGGCAAGTGATATTTTCTCTTTCCCAAATCTCTCTCTCCCAGAGTTTAATTTTGAATAGTATTGTAATCATAACAAGGCTTAACTGTTATTAAATGGTATTCCTAATAGAACTAAAATGTCAAGAAATAATCTGTCAAATTCCATGCTTTCATCCATTGAATTTGGAAAATAATAGGAAAACCCAGAAATGTCAAAATTCAGTTTGAAAGGCAACTTGTCGTAAATTCACTTTCTTTAAATCAGTGACACAAATTTAAAAGTCTTGCTTCCCTGGACAGCAAGGTTTTTAGTCCTGCCCTCAGACATAAAAACTTAACAGTAAAGTGAATTGTGCTGACTCTATGCAGGCGCTGTTGTAGGAACTTTACTACGTAAGTTAAATGACCTCATAAGGCAGGTACTGGTATTTTCTTTTTGCAGATGGGGAGAAGAAAAAGAGATATGAGTGATACGTGGTAGAATTGAACCCAGGAACTGAGTCCTTACTCATAGGGTCCTTACTCATAGTTGCTAATGCACAGCCTGATAGGTTATTATGCATGGGAGTTTATCCATCTTACTTATTTTTTACAGTTTGTTTTAAAAAGACCTTCCAGTTACAAACTGCTATAATAACCTATCAACCTAAAGATGGCAATTTTGTTTCTTGCAGAGAGTTGTGACATGTACAAGTCCCTCTTGATTATATCTTATACAGTATAGGTCTACATGTAATGGGGAGAAGTCTAGATTCTGAGCTTAATATTGCAGGATTTGCAAACCAAGTATGAAAAACATTCCTTAGTTTGATTACTAGTGGAAAAAATGGGCCAAATCTCTTAGATATTCAGGTAGAGAGTGCTATAAAGAAACAAATTTGGTGGGAACATGAATGTAAATTAAGCCCATTTCTTTTTGGGTCTTGAATTATTTAGATGGGAGAAAGGCAGATTTCAAAATTGAGGATAGAGTTGAGGGGTGTCTAGTTTGGCGGATAAGTGAAGCCCAAGGAAGCCTTTCTGGATTTTGTGGACAGCATGGGAAGTATCCACCCTCCGCTGAGAAGAAACAAAGAAAACTGGTATTTGGGGAATGTGGGGAACCAGCTGAATCAGCATCAGATAAGGCCGGAAGTAGGTAAGATGCTGAAGACACTGAGGGAACTTTTGGGGAAGGCTTTAATTATGTTCTGAAATGGACTTTGAGTTTCCTGCTTTCTCCCCTTCCCCCCGCAGTTCAATGAACTTTACCAGGAAGGTGGAATTGACTAAGGGGCAAGAATTATGGGGTTGCTTGCCTTCGGATCCTGGTAGTTTATCAAGTGTCCCAAGCTCTAAATCCAATTTACTTAAGTAGTTAGTGGAGAGGAGATTGTCTTCTTAAGTAGTCAAGGTGGGGATCATTGGGTAACTAGTTAAATTTATCATCAAAATTAGGTGTCACAGTTGAATGGTAATTGAGGCATATCCTGCAGGGGCTCTCAACCCTGGTCGATCATTAGTTACCTCTAATTTATCATTTAACATTTTAAATAATACAAATGCCTACTTCCCTTTCTCCAGGATTCTAATTCATTGGGTTTGGAGTGGAGCCTGGGCATCGGTGTTTTAAAAGGTGATTTTAATGCCCAGCCAGGGCTGAGAACTACTATCAACTATCTAAATCATTTGGTATCACTGAACTCATTTGATCTTAAACTCTTTTGATGTCAGGTACTGTATTTTAGACTCTCCAGATCAACCTGTCATTAGTAATCGTCCCTCTTACCATGAATGCATTCTCACAGCAGGTGTTCAAATAATTTATTAAATTGAACATTCATTTATATATATGTATTTCATACACACACATACACAAACACACATGCACTAGATGAGGTCAAAGTGAATAAGGGAAAGGCTGGTTTAGTAATGAGAATGTATAATGTGTGGAGTGGAAATGAATGAGATAATATGAATATTGGGTTCATGGGATAGTGGGTATGCTGGAATTTTAAGCAGATTTGTGGATTTGACCGTATGAGAATACTTTTTTTTTTTTTGAAGAAACATTTGATAGACCTGCCTAAATGAATGAATCTCTTCTGTGTTCAGATATTTTGAATAATTTGTTTTTCCATTGAGACCAGCTTCCCAAATCTGAGCAAGATAAGAGTAATAATTCCATTTTCTGATAAACTGTGAGGTCAGCATCTAAAAATTTATGTAGTAACAAGAATATGGCATGCTATTGTATGGGCCTAACCTGGAGAAATGGGCTGGAAATCCTAAATTCTTGAAGGCTTCAGTTTTTGATGAAGGCTTCCAGATTTTTAAGGTTCCTGTGTACATAAACTACATAAATCCAGACTGGATTTCCAAAATGCTTTTCAATTTATTGGACATGGACTTACTTGAGTGCTTCATTTTCTGCTCAGTCCTCTCCTAGTGTGTGGACTCCATGCTCTCCCCAGCACGTGGGTAAGACAGACTCACCACCAGCAGGGCACCTGCTGCGAACTTGGTTTTGGTTCTCCTACTTGACTTGAATAGAAGAGCCTCCCGGTTTGCAGACACAGGGCTAGTGGTGCCTGCCATGACCCATAGATATGTTTTTTCAATTCTGCTCAGTATCACATTTTTTAAAAAGATTTTTATTTATTTATTTGAGAGAGAGACAGAGGTAGGGAGAGAGAGCACATGAGTGGGGAGGAGAGGGGGAGAAGCAGGCTCCCCATTGAGCAGGGAGCCCAATGTGGGGCTCCATCCCAGGACCCTGGGATCATGACCTGAGTCGAAGGCAGACTCTTAACTGACTGAGCCACCCAGGTGCCCGGCCCCTCAGTATCACATTTTGACTTAGTTGCCGTGTTTAAATATTTTGAGACTCATGCAAAGGTCCAGAGTTCTGCCTTCTTTGGGGGAAAAACAGATCAGAATTTCTGGAAGTACTGGGCTTTACTTTCCCACCTCCCAACCATCAGTTGGAGATGAGACACCCCTCTTGTCTTTGGAAGGCATCATTCTGCTCTCCACTCGATTATTGCCTCACCAACAGTTTGTTACCACCTCGGACTTAACTTTTTACTCTGTCATTATTTCCTTATTTATGGCCCATCGTTGTTCTTTGGCTTGCTGTCGGTGTTTGGGTTTGTGGCCCCT